GACCCTCCAAGCCATTTGATCGACAGTGACTGCAGCAATGGGCTTGAGAGGGTCAGATTGTGAGGATGGCACAGGATAGGAAAGCAGAGAGCTGTGTTTCATTGACTATGCAAAGCCATTTGACTGTGTGGATCACAACAAACTGTGGCTAACCTTGAGGAAAACGGGAATCCCAGGGCACTTGACTGTGCTTATGTGAAACCTATACTTGGACCAGGAAGCAGTCCTCAGAACAGAGCAAGGGAACACTGCATAGTTAAAAAATCATGAAAGGAGTGCAACAGGGATCCATCCCACCTCCATACCTTTTCAATCTCTATGCAGAACAGATCGTTTAGGAAGCTTGACTTTTTGAGGAAGAATGTAACATCAGAATTGGAGGAAGATTCATCAACAAACCTACATTCTGCAGATGACAAAACCTTGTTTGCTGAAACTGAGGAGGACTTGAAGCACTTACTGCAGAAGCTCAAGGACTGGAGTCTTCAATATGGTTTGAAGCTCAACTTTAAGAAGACAAAGATTCTCACCCCTGGGACTATTGGCAGCACCATGATGGATGGAGAAGAGGTTATTACAGTCAACACTCTTGGCGCCAGCAGCCAGGAAATCAAAAGACAAGTTGCATTGGGAAGTCGGCTGTCAAGGACCTCTCCAGAGTACTGAAAAGCAACAATGTCAGTCTAGAAACTAAGATCCTCCTCATCCAGACCATGGTCTTTGCAGTTACTTGCTATGCATCAGAGAGCTGGACAGTGACTAAGGATGACAGAAGAGGAATCAGTACCATTGAGTTGTGGTGCTGGAGAAGAGTCTTGAACATACCATGGACTGCCAAGAAAACAAATAGGTCTGTCTTGGAGAGAGTGAAACCAAGTTTCTCCTTGGAGGCTAGAATTTTGAAGCTCCATCTCATATAGTTTGGGCATGTGGCCAGGAGGGTCCAGTCCTTGGAGAAGGACATCATACTCAGAAGGGTAGAAGGACATTGCAGGACAGACCCCAGATGAGATGGATTGATACAGCTACTGAGGTAGAGGGGTAGGTGTGTTGGAATTAGCGAGACTGGCTCAGGACAAGGACAGGCTTCAGAGCTGCTGTGCATAGGTGCCCTATGGGTGACTCGACAGCACGTAACAACAATAACACAGGATAGGACAGGCTTCGGATTTATTGTTTGTAGGCTCACCATGAGTCGCACTTGACTCAGTGGCCCCTGACAACAACAGCGGTCTTTAAGGAAGCAAGTGGCCTCGTCCTTCTGTGGAGTCACCGGTGGTTCCTCTTTCTAGTTTGGAACATCTGATGGGCTCCCACTGGCAGCCTTTTGGTTAGCTTCTGAGTGCTTTAACCATGGTACCACCAGAGCTCCCATCATTCTCTGTGTATATTCTGTGTATATGATGGAGTCTCCCCCGCCTCCCCTTTACCTTCTGTTGTTCTTTGCCCTCTGACTTGTCTGCTGGTAGATGTTTAGATCTGGTGCTTTTTTTTTTTTATGGAACGAATTTGCGTGTCATCCTTGCGCAGGGGCCATGCTAATCTTCTCTGTATCGTTCCAATTTTAGTATATGTGCTGCCGAAGCGAGCACTAGATCTGGTGCTTTGAGCTGGGTTTGAACAAGACAACATCACGGGGCGTCAGTGTGTAGGTTATGTTTCATCAGAGGACGTCTGATGTCCGCCTCCAGGTCTCGCCCTCTCCTCTTAACAGCATTTATTTATTTATTTGTTGTTGAGGCTGTACACAGCAGACCCTACGCCAATTCGCCGCTTCATCCAGTAAAGTTCGGCCGCACCGATGGGCTTCTTTGAGTCCTACAGCCCTTCTCACCCTCATTCCCCTGCTCGTTCTTCCCCCAGTAACACTAACTCACTGCTCCCTAAGGCTTCTGACCCAATGTCCTGAGTGGCGCTGATCAGTCTCATCTCACAGAGATAAGCTCTTCAAAGAGCTACGAGGCAGATTGTTTACTAGTTCAGCCAAACAGCTCTTGGGTTTCTACCAAATGACCTTCTGATTTAAGGTTTAGTGATGGTCTCAGGACAGTGGTTTCGGCTAGCCCCCTCAGGCCCAAGAAATGTGACATTCTCTTTTGCCTTCTTCCTTCTTTGCTTTATGTCACTTTTTTCCTTATTTCCTCCCCCCTCTCCCGCCCCCCTCCAGTCCACTTGACTATGCACCTCTTATTCTGGATTATTGTCGTGCAAGTAATGTTGTTGTTGTTGTTATGTGCCGTCGAGTCGC